TAGGATGATAAAATAATCAATACAATATAATGAATTTATTATTAAAAAAAAATAATTTTAAATTCAATTTATAAAATATAAAGTAATACTTAATATTATAATAACATAAAATTATTGACCATGTATACTTTTATTTTAAAGGTAATAAATATAAAATAGGACTATTAATCTCTTATTAACAAACTCAGAAATATATACGTCCATATTAAATGTATTAATTTTACGAATATGAATATAATATATTAATAACATAAAATAAAATCGACATGGTTGAAATTCTTCACATAATGAAAATATTAAATACATTCAGCAGTTATATCTATAAAATTATACTATCATGTGATAGTAGAAAAAAAACTATAAAACATTTTTTTATTTATATTATAGCATCATTACGATATTAAAATATGTTTTTTATAATTAGTGAATTTATGGCAAAAAAAAATATATTTATTGCATTTATAGAATTATAACCAATTTTAAAAAATATTTTTATTGACATATATAATATTTTATTATAATTTTTATTTATTTATTTTATATGAATATCACACAGCTATAACACATAAAGGAATCAAAGAAAATAATTATAAACCTTAATATTACACATAAAACGTACAACAATATAGCTATTATGTTCAATTTTCAAACAAATTAATAATAATACGAAAAATTGGTAATATTCAAAAAATAGATTTTCAAATTATTAATTAACTATTATATACATAAATGTAGGAATCATTTTTATACAGTTATATAATGATTCCTTATATTAAAACGAGAGATATTGTTGAAGTGATTTATTCATGATCCATAGAATTGCATATTAGTACATAGGAGAAAAAATATAATTAATATTAATATAATTGATAAATATAAACATAATTTCCTTATGCTAATTACGAATATATTCAAAATTTTATTATATAACAAGATTTATCTTTTTTTCTCAACAAAAATATACTTATATATAATTTTTATTTTTATGCATATTCCTGCTTATACATATTAATTTTATGGTGTAACATATTTTATTCCCAACAATTTTTTTTTATATCATATTCATACACTTTAAATACATATGTCTATTTTTCTCCATGTAGGAATTTAAATCGTAATTATAAATTTACTTGTTTCTTTTCATTATGATATTTGTTTTTTGTGTTAATAATAATTTTTGTCTTATTTTTTTATTTTCTGTTAATATATGTTTATGCATAAATATATTTAAATAGAAATATCCCTTTTTGTAAAATGAGATTAATATATTCTGTTAGAAAGAAAGTGATAATAAGAACCATTTATATAATATTATAATAGGTAATTAATTTCTTATAGTATTATTATGACAGAGATAAATGTTATTAGAATGCTTTTTTTAAGTATTTCCTTGATGATCATCATTCTTTTTATCACAATAAAATTATTCGCATACTCATATTATCAATTCCTGATATATTATCATTATAAACAAGGTTTTCTATAATAAGCATAATTAAATATATAATATTTTATTCATAATCTCTTTGTATATTTGATCAAATTTTACTTATTAATGTGTATATTATGAGAAATGTATTAAAATCCATAATATTATTCTAAAGCATATATAACTTATAAGAGAATATATGAAAAATCCATATAATTATATCTTTCAATTAACATGTGTTCATACAATTTGTATATAAATTATATAATATTAAGAAAAATGATTATAAATATTTATATCGTATGCATATATAAAAATCATGTATGAAGTGTATAATGTTGGTTATATGTCTAAAAAATTATGGGTATATATCAAGATAAAAATATATATATTTACTTCAATTAAAAGAGTGTACTCTTAAATTTAGAGCTTCTACATAATTAATTAATATAGCTAAATACCATATAATTTTAAAAAGGAATATATAAAAAAACATAAATGTTAAAAGAATAACGTCAAAATTTCAAAAGACATTATATAATTTTAATGGATCATACGTACGTTATTTTATAAATAGAATGAATGCGTAATTTTTTTAATATAATGAATTGTTTTCATTGATTAAGTTAGTAGATACTTATATTAGACAATAATGTAATAGGATAAGTATGAATTTAAAGAAACAAATGACAAAATCTCTAAATTAATAATTATATTTATATTCATTTTAATGATTATTAAAAAATGAAAATAATGAATGTAATGAAATTATGTTTTTGTTACAAAAATGTATTTATTTTTATACTATTTCTGTGTATATATAAATTTCCAAAAAAAAAAATATAATATTTTTATGGTACAATGAATTATATTGATTCATTATGTTAGTTTTATTTTTTTCACCATAATATTTGCCTATGAGTTTTAAACTATATTTTATTTTAAACTTCTCAATGCTAAAAGAATTAATTTTATGCTCATATATATAATTGTTGTATCATATAAATATTTGTTCATAGCACACATGATTGAATAATAAATAATGTAATACGAAAATATTATTTATATTAATATTACAATTATTATATAACAAATTCAGTATGAATTTTTTTGTAACGATGTTCCTTATTTACTAGGTTACATTATTATTATAATTTCTATTAAAAAACTAAAGAATGGAATTTCACAACATTCATATATGTATATATTCATAATATATTTGTTATTATAAGTCATACTCACATAGACCATATGATTATATGAGATCTTATAATTTATATCAATTCTTTAGGCACATTTTATAATGAATTAAAGTATTTTTTTGTATAATAAATTGTAATAACACTTTCAAAAATGAAAAAATATTTTATTACTAAATATTATATATAACTAGTATATTTTTATTTCTTTGTTCACATATTTATAGGAGTTATAACTTTCTATATAAAATAAAAATATATTTATATCAAAAATTAAAATATAAAACTATTGTAAAATACTACGTACTTATAAATTTGAATGTTAAAAGAATTACATAAATATATAACTACTGAAAATTATTATTTCTTCATACTATATGAATTATTTATTTCCATATTTTGTTATATCATTTTCTTTATATTAATTCATAGCTATAAAAGGTTTTCTTCATATAAATTTGATATATTTCTTTTTGAAAAAAAATAACGTGTCTCTTCATATGGCACTATATGTATTTTTTTTACTAATGTTCAGCATATTTATATATTTTATATTTATCTATGTTATTTTCTAGATTATATGTTAGTGTTAACATCATTAATAAATTAATTGATGCCGTTTTTTATATGTACGAATGAAAAATGTTATACAAAATAAAAAATATATATTCATTTATACTAAACACAATATTAGAAAAAAATATAACTGTGTACAATTTTAAAATTGATAACTTTATATAGTTTTATCAAGATTTAGTGTTCATATTAACAAAAAAATGGCCTAAATTATATTATAATCACAATAATATAAATTATTAGAATAATACAATAAATATTATAAAGACGAATTACTTTCTTGTAATTTAAATGGTATATATTAAATAAAAATTATTATAACATAAAAAATAATAGAAAATTAATGATATTAAAATAATTAGAAAAATTATTAAATTTAAATATTATACCTGTGCAATGATTCACTGAGATAATTATATAATAAATAATATGTTAACTAAAGAATAAGTAGAACATAAATAATTTTTTTTCTAATTTATGTTCTTCTTCATCTACTTTATATGAATAAAAACGTAAAATGTAGCATATATGTGCGTTATTGTTGCTAATACATATACTATCATATTATATGTTTTATGTATTATGAATTTCTTTTACAGAAAAGCAAAAAAACTACAATAATATAATTATATTCGTGTGGTATTTATATTTTATGTATAACGGTTCATGATTACATATACTTCTCAAATAGTTAATTAAGAAAAATATTTATATCTGTTATTTGACTGTTTTAATTAAAGAAAAATAAATATATGAATACTTAATAATTCTATAATTAATGAAATAAATGTGAAGATGTATAACTCTAATATATTATAATGTTGTGTTTTGACTTAATATTGATAAAAGACAAATAACATCATACATTAATCTTTTAATTATAACACATATTACATATAATTTGTATGTTTAAACTTATATATATGACACAATAACCTATATATTTGAATAATGAAACATATTTAATGAATCATTTTTTATATTTTTCATTTTATCTCTCTATTAATATATAATGGTTTTTACAAAAACAAATTAACACATATTCATAAAAGCTTGTACAAAATTAAAAATTTATTACGATTATAATTGTATAATATTAAAACATTATTAAAAAATACTGTTTATATGTCATACTGTTAACAATTAAAAATTGTATTTATCAAGATTTTATACATGCTATTTCATTTATGTATTCATTTAAATTACATGATATTCATACAGATAATTTGTGTATAATATGAACATATATTAATATATACAATAGAGTTATTGTAAATAAATATAATATCTATGATTTATTCTGCAACAATATAAAAGAATACATATTTAATTTCATATTTTTTAGAAGAATAATGCTTAAACACATCTCATATATTACAAAAAGCTAAACATTATTTAGATAAATTTATAGTATTTTGTGCCTTGAAAACACCATAATTAGATTATTCTATATGATAATAACCTTTTGTAATATCATACTATAAGATCACGTTATATTTAATCATATAATAACATATATTTGTGTTATTCAATTAAAATATAATATTTAAATATGTTTCTATATTCTTGTTAAGTTAAATTAAGTTTAAACAATTATTTATATTTTTCTCTATTTATTATAACAATAACTATGCATTATATATATATGAGAACTACAATACAATTATAATGAAATACATATTCATGAAAACAAATATTCATTTGTTGTGTCCTATATATTTCTTTATTGATAGTGTCTTACATATTTAATTGTATATAAGTTATTTGTTTTATTTAATGTTTAAAAAATATAAATTATGCCTCTTAGAAAATATAACATTGTATATTTTACTTTTTTATAATTCTTACTTCTTTATAATTATAATTTTTTTTTTTTACCTAATTAAATGTGTTACATATTCATACATTAATCCATGTGTTCCTATGTTTTATTTTTCTTTTTTCTTGTTAGTATAAAAAAGTACATTTATTTGACCAAGAAAAAACAAGAATTGAGCAGTTCACACATGATAACACAGAAAGTAAATATTGTGTATCTAAAAATATTAAACATGATAGCATTGAAGAAAATTATTATAAAAATAATTGTCCTAAAGCTGTTTCTTATTTAGATAATTGGGAAACAGATATCCCAATAACAGGTTTAGACACATATTGTATATACTTGTATTACTGGATATATGTGGAAGGTTTTAAAAAATCATATAATAATTATATTAAAACGATTTATGATGAATTCCTGAAGGCATATGAAAATTTGGATACGAAAATTTGTAATGATTATAAGGAAATAATTACTGATGATATATTGGGGAAGCTGCATGATTTATATGAAATGAATTGTAAACTTAATAATCGAAATAATGAATGTTTTAATGCTGACAGGTGTGAGTCCGCTAAAGAATGCTCAAGCATATATATGAAATACGAAGAAGAATGTGAATTAAATAATCATACCGATTTTTGTAAAGAATTAGAAGAATTAAGAAATCGATATAATGAAAAAATGGAAACATTAAGTTGCCCTAATTTTGAATACCAAATATTACCTTCTTTTCAAACATATAATATAAAGGTTTTTATTTTAATGCCATTTGTTATGATATTAATAATATCGATTTTTTTAACTATTTTGTATAAGGTTAACTTGAATATCATTTATTTGTATTTATACGATAATATAATTACATTAAATCATTTAAAATTTACAGATCTTCTAATATAAAATATTGTATTATTAATGCAAATATTTCCATTAATTTATTATCAGTTCACCTCATGTGCCTCATATTTTCCTTATAGAAGAATAAGGAAAAAAAATACCTACGATAGTGTAAGGGAAGAAAATAATATATTTCAGTGTTCAAAAGTAACTGACACTATATCAGCAAATAAGGAGTATATTATTTTGTATAATTCTGAATATTATTAACACTAAATATATAATTTTAAAAATAAATATATTAAATAAATAGAAAAATTGAAATTCATTTATATGCAGAATGAATATCTATATAATATTACATAGACATGAAATAAACTTTATAATATAAAAATATACAGGAAAGAATTAATTTGTGCACTAAATAAGTTCAAATTTAAAATAAATAATTCAGTAATGATATAAATAGCATTTACTATAGATGCAAATAATGAATATAACTGCCATCAATAATTATTATACATGTGTTGTTTTTTCGTATTATATGCTAAACGAACAAAAATATTTTAATCTATAATATATTATATTTTTAATCCTAGTATAAATGCTCTGCATACACTAAATCTGTAATACATGCTAAAAATACAAACTTCTATAATGCTTAAATACAATTAATATGAATTATATACATATAAATAATAATATTCTTATTTATATAATATTAATTATAAGAATAATTATGCTTTTTAGTATAAGTATTAAACATTTTTTTAAAAAAATATATATTTTATTATAATTCTTATAATTAAAAAATATCATAAATCTTCTACAAATATATTCAATTCATTGACCCAAATGTTTTGATAGAATATCCAAGTTCTTAATATATGATATGTAGTTTACTTGTTCATGATATTTTGTTTTGTTTTATGTGTTTCTTTTTAGTTCTTTTTTTTTTTTTTGTGCTTTTGTTAATGAACATATTTTATATAAATATATAATAATTTGGAAAATATTTATTTTTTCCATGCGGAATTAATAGAAATAAAAAGCTTAATATATGAATATATAAATCATGATAACTTATAAAATTAATATTTTACATGTGTCTAATATTTGAATCTGAATAAATTATTTACAAAAATTGATATATTATAAATATATAATTTGACATCATATATATATATTGTAAAGTGAATTATTGTAAATCACATATAAAAAAGTACAAATATATATATATTTAATTCATTTATACATACATTTGAAATCATTCTAAATCCTAATAATTAAATATATCTGAAAAGAAATATATAGGATATTCCATGTTCGAAGATAAATTAATAATATGTAATTACGTAAATAATAATTAATAGTGAAATAGAAACTCGGAACACTAAACCATAAATTTTGAAATCATATTTATTAAAAAACATCACCCTCATAATTAGAGGATGGATGTTGATGTATAATTATATGACGATATGTTTAAAATTTTAGAGAGCGTCCATTAATTGTATATATATTTTATTATTTATTAATCAGTGATCAATGGTTTCTTTGAATATATTTTATATTTGCATGTTTTTTCAGCATATAAAGTATAAATACAATTTATATTTTATTTCTCGATTGAGAAATATGTAAAATTTACTTACATTTAATTAACTTAATAAGACATATATGTTAAATATATATATATATTTTTTTGTTCTAAAGCGATGCTACTTAATATAATAATGTATCAAAAAAGAAAAAAATTATAGTTTCCATAAGGACTATAATATATATTTCCTGATAATGCTCACGTAATTCAGAAAATGTATAATAGAAAAATCGACATTAAATTTGATTTTATAAAAAATGTATTATCCATACATAAATTATAGTTTTAAATAAAAAAAATAAATAATTATAACTGGAAAAATGTAATATAATATAGGAATTTATTTATACTATATAAAAAATAAAAATGTATTTACTTATTTCATACACAATATTATCACGCTATATATATTCATCTTTTATACACTTTTATTGATTTTACATTATCAAAATAATATGTTATTTTTTTATATAATTTTATTTGCATAAGTACAATATTTTCTGTTTTAGTTATTTTTTATGAATCAGAAAAAACCTCTTACATAAACTATCGTAGCCTTTATACCTTAAACAGTTGGTATGATAATAAATTTAATTGTATCCTTGTGAAGTTTGTGATTATGATATGTTGACAAAATTAATTATTGTTACTAAATAAGAAAAATATAAACGCTTTATATATTACAATTATAAAAACCCTAGTATTGATGTAGTACCAATGGAAATGTGCATATATTATTTATTCCTTGCTCCAATAAATTGTATATGTATCGTACTTTAAATAAAAAAAAGATAAGAAAACATTGTTAATCTTAACCAATGTATTTGTTAATTCATTACAAATCAGAGTCATTATATTTTTAACTTAGTAAGACTTTAACATTTTTTTTATTTTTTGTGCTAAATAAATTACAGTTCCAAAATAAGCATATTTTGATAAATATTAAGAAAATCATAAGCTATTTAAATTTATTTCTCATATTATCTATTTTTTAGTATATTCACACATAATGACAATTCTAATTAATAATCTATTTATGTAAAATTATATTTGAGAAAAAATAAAAAATTTGTTCGTTATGTTGTAAGCGGTATACCAAAAAAAAATTTGATAACATTATTACTGACTAATAATAATATAAAATGTAAGTTCTAAAAAATAATATATTTTTCTTCTTAGTATAACATATTATTCCATATTTTATAAGGGTTATATTAATTGAAAATATTTAGAATAAAAGAAATAATGGATGATTTATAATATAGCAATATTTTACTTTCAGTAAGCACATGTAAACGAAATAATTAAATTAACTATATACTATGATTAGTGTTTATAACATATAAAAACCATTTTATTAGGCGTATTCTATGAACGGATTAATATTAAAATATATTAAATTTAAATTTTATATACATGTAATATATATAATTGTTGAGCTTAAAATTATACGTATTTGTGTTAGTAATATTCATTCTGTATATATATAATACGCATATGTAGTAAATATACTATGATTAATATGGATAAATAAGTTTATCATATTAAAATTTTTATATATCATATATTCACATAATATGCAGTATAATGTTATATCATTCCCACATAATATATTGAATCATGTATATGCAAATGTAAAATTTAGACTAGTTACTATAAGGAAATATAATGCACATTAATTATTTTTTAGGAAATGATTATAATGTTACTAAAAAATAAGCACTGAGTTTTTTGTTTTTTACTGCCTAAGCAAAAATTATTCAAAACTAAATGATATATGCTCCATTCTTATAATTAATACTATTTATATATATATTACCTAATAAAATAAATGTATATGAATAAAAATTTTATAATATAATTATTGATTAATTTAATTTATATTTTTTGATTTATTGTTGAGGATAAGACTTTTTTTTATAATATTATATATTTATATCTATATTATAAAAATGAAAATAATCGTTTAAGTTTTCTATATTATTTCAACATTATAATGTGTGTATTATTTTATGTATATGTTAAAATGTATTCCTGTTAGTTAGAACATACGGTAATACCCCAATTAAACCTACGTTTAGTAATTTAAAAATATATATTTGAAGAAATTTTATTAATTCATATAAATTATAACTTTTAATATATATAGTTTCAAGGTTATTTATTATTATAATTTTTACACGAATAAATTTAATATAAAAAAAAAAAACAAATAATAGTTATTTTTTTTTTATTTACGTATATAAATCAACATGAGTGATGAAAAAACTGAGAAAATAAATAATGTATGTTTAATACTACTATAATCACATTATATTTTATAAAATTTAAAAAAAATATATATATCATTGTAAACGAAGAATGAATTATATTTAAGAATTTAATTTATATATTTATAAATTCATTCTTAGTTCGATTTTACTAGTATATACCCGGATTGTAGAAATGATTTTAATAATTATAATAGGAGTTCTTTGCATGCATCTTTATATAGTGGCTATTCGGCGGTATGCAATAATTTTCGTTTGAATATAGGTGTTCATGGATATGGACAGGTATTTCAAGAAAATTTTTGTTTACCACTTTGTTATTATTTAAATTATATAAAAGAAAGTAATTCAAAATCGGACTTTAATGTCGATGCAAGCTGTAAATATTTCTATTACAAGCTAAAAGATCTAGTGAAAAAATATAGGGGGACATGTGATGAAAGGGGAAATTGTTACGTTATTTTGAGACTACCGAGGAAAAATGCAACTCTAATAAATGTTCCGGACATATGTATGAAAGTTGTTGAGGATATTAGTATTATTGAAGAAAATTTATATAATGTATTTTATCATTTGGATGGATTATATACTGCTATTCATAGATGTAATAAAAATCCCCGTTTATGTAAATGGGACGGTAAAACATGCAAAAATGCTATTGAAAATTTAAAAACATGTGAATTTAAAAATAATAGAAGTTTTAATGAATTAATTACAAAATTTGAAAATCAATATAATTCATTATGTTCTGAGCCAGAACATAAATCTGTAAAGGAAAAACGTACGCCTCAGGAAATATCAATAATAGAAAAAAATTCAGAAGCAAGTGAAAATGCAAGAACCCAAGCAATCAAAGATAAATATACAAGTGCAATGATCGGTACATTCACAGACACAGGGACAGGAATGGTTGTTTTGCCATTTATAATATTTATAATTGTATTCGTGCTTTTTAAAGTTATATATAAATTAAATTTTTTAAATACTTGTTGATTCAATTTTAAAAATACATATATGTAAAATAAAAATATTTAATTCAAATATTTTATATATAGTAAAACAATAATATTTTTTTATTTTCAGTACACTTCCTATGGTTCATATATACAACTAGGTGTGAAGAATTTAAGAAGTGCGTTAAAAAAAAAAAATAAAAACCATAGTGACTTAATAGACTCATTTGAAAAGACATACAAAAATTCAGTAGATAAGAAATATAAAGTAGCTTATGCCTCTCAGTATTATTAGTAACAAATATTCAGAGTAATTAATGATACAATGTAGTTTAATAAATAGTTAAAAAATAAGAGTCTGCTATATATAAATAGGGAAAGTGATAATTATATAAGTACATATATACTAATCAAGTAATGAATGAATGAAAATAACAGTATATAATAATTTAATGAAATCAATAAAATATCTACTAGAAAATATTACTGTGTAATGTACTGCATATAATGATATTATGAAAATATAACGAAATGGTTGTTGTAAAAACTTTAATTGTAAATTATAATATAAGATAATAAAATACTTGATAAAAAATATAACCAGAAGTAGTATATTTATACATAACAAAACCAATTTTAGGGAAATGTAAAATAAATTTATATCTAATCAAAATTATGAAAACTATATAAATATATAATAGAATATATACATTGTAACATAAGCATTGATGAAGAATAATACAGTTAATAAAGAGGAATACGCAGTCAAATATATATATAGAGCTTTATAATAATGTAATAAAAAGTATATTTAATGCTATAAGTTAAAAATTAATAAATAATATATACTTTTATTTAAACTTCGTTGTATTATAAATATAATTATTTACATAATATAAGCTCACCTAAAAGTTATATATTAATATAATAGCAGATATCATTTGAGTTATATGAATAAGATAGTGTAATGGAGTATAATAAAAAAAATAATTATAAACATCCGAATAAATATATATAGTATTTAATTTAAATAAAAGCATTTAATACTGTAATCTATAGATATAGTAAAATTATATTATTATATTCAATATTAATAAATATTAACAAATATATTTATTTAAAATTAATATATATTCATTAATATATTTTATATTGTATTATTTATAGTAAATTATATATTTTTTCCTAATCTAGAAATATAAAGAAACCATTTCTGCGTTTAGTTGTAATATTTGTCTACAATATTATAATAAGAATACATTAATCTCAATTTTATTAATTTAAAGCATAATAATACTACAAAGTAAAAATTAGGAAAATACGTTAAAACTAGGATTAAACTGTAATAATTTTTATAATGAAAAAATATAAGAGTAATAAATTTTATAGATAAATAATATATACATATTCTTGTTAACAGGGCAATATACAGAAAAAAAATATATGGAAAGGGATTATTTTTTGTTATGCATTAATTTAATCCTTTTATATTTATACATTTCTAGAATAAATAAAAACTGATACTAAAATACCTAATTTCAATATAAAAAAATAGATAAGAATAAAAAACTAAGATAAGTATGTTCTTGTTTTATTAGTTTTTTTTTTTTTTCATTAACAAATAAAAAAAAAATTTCTACTGAATTCATAAATATGTATATTTCTTATTTTTATGTATTAATAGTATCTCATAATAATTTTATTTAATTTTTTTTCATACAATTTTGTTATCTGATTTATACTTATTTAATGAGTGTAAATGATATTAACCCTAGAGTAATTATGATATTTCATATATTTCCTTCATGATTATCTTTATTCATTTTTATTTTTTTATTCTAAATATTTGAATTATTCTTTTTTTATATTTTTATATATATATGTAAACATTTAAATGTAAAATCACACATGTATAGTATGGGGTTTATGTATATTAATTTGAAAAAAAAATTATGGAAACTCATCTTTTTTAAATTTAATATAGAAAACAAAATATTTAAGATTATATGTACATGATAAATGATATAGTTAAAACTATTCATCAATATTAAAATAATGATTCCCTAAATACATTGATCATTCTTAAGAATATACAATTATATGAAGATATAATATATATATAAATTATATTTTACTGAAATATAAGATTATTACAAAATTATGTTTTTCCTAAAAAACACATTTACTCCGAAAATAAATATTGTACTCCTACATTAACATATTCTTGATTATTTTATCTATTATGCATTAATATAATGTTATAATATTTCCATAACAGTATTTATTTATATGTTAAAAAAGTATAAATAATAAGTGATTTACTTATATTAAATATGATTCCAAATTTTTATGCATAAATATTGTAATGTTGAAGCTTTGTGTATGAGCGCTGTTGCTAAGGAGACTTCCTTTAGCAATTCTTTTATTATAATATACATTATGTAAATAATATATGATAACGGGATTTATCATATTATAAACTCCTTTTTCTATAATCATATACATAATATGAAATAATGTTGTATAATATAATAGTTCAACTATGGTTCTATTGTAATGCATAATAATGTTATAATTTAAAATGCATATGCTTTTATAATTAAATTACTAATATCATATTTATATCCAAAATTATAGTTATCTTTATATATAGATTATATAACATAAATTCAGATTTATGATTAATATAAAAAACAGAGTTATATAATGTGTATTATTTACAAACTCTTCTAAAGTTATTATATTATTTAATAGCTTTATCTATTAAAAGTATAATGATATTCACATAATGTTTTAACTTGATTGTATAATTATTTTATTGAGTTATTTATAATTTTTTTTAAATTATATTAAGTTTTACTTTAAGAAATATATTTCTTTATCATTTAGAAACCTTATACCAATTATAATTGTTTGTCAACCCTATAATTATGCAATAATTGCTAATATAAAATATAGTAATGTATATATTATTTATATATCATAGAAAATATGTGTCAGATAATATATAAATATCCATATATTTGATAATATAATGTATTATATCATGTTATAATATTTATTAAATTATATGAATAATATATCACTTCTAATGCATGCACAATATAAATTGTTTAGGTTATTATAAAAAATATTACAAATACATAAATATTTAAATAATTTAAGAAACACCACCAATAATTTTTATATCAAACAAATATAATTCTTTTATACTTTCAAATAATTATAATATGTTTATATCTATAAATAAATAAAATTATTATTCATAGTAAAAAAACAAAAATATATATGCATAAGGAATAAATTAGTGTCTTTATAGATATATTGTGTAGAATAATGCATAATGGTTTTTTATTAATTAAATAAAAATATATAAAGAAAATGTTACACATGACACAATGGGGGTAATGTAAAAACTGCTTTAATTATAAATATAAATAAATGATAATTAATACGTGTAATGATCACACATTACTACAATTTCTGTGATAATAAGGATAAACACATATATATTAAATATATTATTATAATGTATATAAGTTAATTTATCAAAATCTATATTTTATTGTATTCCGAATTTTGTTTCATTTAACTGACTGTTCAAATAACTGTACTAGTATTTATGCTTACATTAATTCAATATATAGCGCAGTCTACATTTTATAATTATGGATAACCTTTTCTACAAAAAATGTAGCTAATATTACTATATTGTGTGGTACTCTATGAATTCGTATCCTGAATCATATGAAGGTAATGTATCTTCAAATATTCCTTTTAGATTTTTATTTAATTTTTTCCTTTTTATTCCCATTTTTTGTAAAGTCTTCAATAAAAATTAGACTAATATATGATATGGAGGAATATATTTTTTTAATGAAAATAAAGATCACATATATATATTATTAATACTAAGAAAAATATACTTATTTGTTAAATTATAATTTGTATTTACAGGAGAGTAAAGGAATAATAATATAATATCTCTCAATGTATATGTAACTTAATAAAAATAACATGTATTTAAAGCTTCATAAAGTGTTTCTGTTGTAACAATGGAAAGAACATTAATTCGGATAATAGATGAATATTGAGTCCCTACATATAACTTAGATGAAATGCATATTTTTTTATGAAGAATGGATACTTATGTTCTACGATTTACATTACTTTAACTTTTTTTTTTCGTCCATATTTAATCTATCAAATGATAATATTAATGTTCCCAACAAAACAATTTCATCATTCGCTTTACAAGGCTAAAATGAGGTTTTCAATAGGTTTCATTATTTTTATAATAACAAGCTCTATGTGCACAATAATACATATTTAAAATAGTTTTAATATTAGTAGTACAATTTAAATAAATTTCATAACCGTTTAATAACGATCATTTCTTTCATGTATTCATAGTACTCAAAATTATTATGTTCATCTTTCTCATTTTTAAATTCAATCCACTTACATCATTCATAAGGTTCGCAAGGCAAAAAATGTAAATTTTTAATATTTAACAATTCTATTAAATCAAAAAAAATTTATTACTAAAACATCTAATTTTTAGTTGTTTTGCATTATGCTGTTTTCCTTTACTTGTTCAAAGAAGCATTGTGTGTTATATAAAATGTCATTTTTTGCTTATTTCCTTTTTAACAGATAACAAATATAAAGATATTGCCGTTCTTTTACAAAAATTTTTGCTGTCCTTTTCAATTTTTTTTAAATTATTACAGTTTTTTGTATTAAATTTAATAATTGTAACTTTATTAAAATCTTCATATTTTATATGTGCAGATATATTTGAATATTTTTCATTCTATTTATCATGAATAAAAAACAGTATTGAATTAGTACTCGAGAGTTTAAAAAATAACGTATCTCTCTCTTTTTAAAATTATGTATAACATAATCACAAATATCTATTTATATATTAAAAATATAAGTAAACCAAATTCATCTTATATAAAAATGACATCCTACACTAGTATATAAAATCTACATCAAATAAAGATTTTCGTATATTCACTAATAATTTATAATATCGTATGATCTATTCACATATTATGCATCCACATGAAGTAATTACAAAAAATAAAAAAATTCTTATAAGTATAAACTTTTTTTTAATTAATAAAATTTCTTTCATTATGATGTTAATAATATATTTCTTTTCCGATATCATTTATAAAAAAAAATTATATTGTAATTATAAGAAGTGCACTTAAATATTATAAAATATATCTTTATTCTTCACTAAAACGGTATATATATTTGTTACATTATTATAGTTCTTTC